GATATTTCACTCAGCATAATGTTCTCCAGAGTCAACCATTTTGAATAATATTGCATGAGTTCCTTGTTTTTAAATGCAGCATAGTATTCCATTGTACAGGTACAAAATTTTATAACCTGGTGGTAACCAAAGAAATAGTAGATATGCTATGTAGTGTGTGTGGTGCATAATATGTTGAAGTAAGACTTAATAATATTTTAGGACGTTCATTAAACATGATGTCTGCAACGTTTATATGCAAATCATAGTCCATTATGGGAACCTGAGCCATTTTCTTAGATCTTTTTAAATTTAAAGTCCATTAGGAGAAGTAAACTAGTAACTAGGCCACTGTACTGCATGATAAGTACTCTGGTAGGAAGAGGTCAGTCTTCAGGAAGAGTTGCTGGTAAAGCACTTTCATTTGAGAAATCACTTGCAAGGTTGACTATAAAATGTTTCTGGCAATCTAGTGGTGCAAAGTACTACTGATGATGAAAAGTGAACTTTAGTTTCAGCTCTACCAATTCAGCTGAGTCATCTGATCATATTGTATTCCATTCACTTCTTGTCTCTAAGAAAGAGGAATCAATTCTTTATGTTTTATTAACTTACATTTTCATAGATTCTTTAATCAAGTGCTACACACTTGTTGAAAGAGAGCTCATATTTTTACAATAAAACAGTTCAGTTAGGAATCACAGCATTCATTCAGTCAAGAATTATAGGTTTTTTACTTGGCTATTCTCCAGAGACTCTATACTCTAAACAAAATCAAACCTCTCATGATGATAGAAGCGGCTTAGCATTCTAGTCCTAATCTGATATTTGACTCTGGGGGGAAAAAATTCTGATTGTAAGAATCACTTGTTGTGCATCAGAGACTGGACAGTGACTAGGGAGGATAGAAGGAGAATTGATGCTTTTGAACTGTGGTGCTTAAGAAGAGTATTGAGGGTACCACAGACTGCTAGGAAAACAAACAGATTCATCCTGGAGAGGGTTAAACCAGGCTGCTCCATGGAGGCAAGGATTCTGAGGCTTCGTCTGACATACTTTGGACGTGTTGTATGGAGGGACCGGTCCTTCAAGAAGTACATCATGCTTTGGGAGGGTGGAGGGACAGCGCAGGAGAGGAAGGCCCTCTATGAGGTGGATTGATTCAGTGACTGGGGTAATCAGGATGGGTGTATCGGAGACGGTGTGACTGGCACAGGACAGAGCAGAGTTTGGGGCTGTTGTACATAGGGTCGCTATGAGTTGCAAGTGACTCGATGGCACATAACAACAACAAGAACTGAAACAAGTGTCACTGTGAAGGCCTTTATCATAAATATAAGACCTGTCACAGGTACTTTAAGGAGTTATGGGGTCTATGACTCAGTGGCACTTAACAACAACAACAATGAGAGAACTCTGTTGGCCTAGTAGATAGAATGTTATGCTACCAAGCCAAAGGTGGGTGATTTTAATCTGCGACCCTCAGGTCTGATTTTAATTGTTTTTGATAAAACATTTTTCTAAGTGATATAAGCACTGGTTGTCCATTGGCTGTACAGAGAGGTAACTCATGGTTGCTGTGATGATAAACACTGTGACACCGATGTGTCAAATCCGATAATGGTTACCCATAGTGGACAGTGTTTGGTGGAGCTCCCTGATTAAAACAAGCTTGGAAGCAAGAGTGACATCCACTTCCAAAATAGCGTGCCTCTGGAAACCCTATGAACTTGGAGAAACGATGAAAGTTATACAAGTGTTTAGGTCTTTTATTCATAGAGTTGTCTATGACTCGATGGCACTTAACAAGAACAACAACAACAACAACAACATGAAGCATATCATTGATGAAGAAAGCAGAAAAATCATAACAAAGACAGAGAAGAAAGAAAAAAACCGAAATGGATGTCAGAAGAGACTCTGGAAATTGCACTATAGCAAATTCTCCCACTACCAGCAAACATCGCTGATGTCTAATTTGAGAGTGCAGCCTAACTGCATTCAGGTGAAAACAAACTAGCTAATTATTTCACATGTAAGCCTTGTAGAATTGATTCAATTGACTCACCTCCTCTTCTTTTGATGTGGAAAATCCTAGGACAGGACTGGAAGGCAGGGCCTCCAAGTGACTCCAGACACAGTGGACATCATCTCATCTAGGCAAACCCCAGCAACAGGGATCCTTGCTTCAGTTTTGAACCTCCCTCACCTCAAAGAGACACAGTGAAGAGCCAGTCTCTCAAGCAAGTATGAGAGACCTGGCTGGCTTTTCTCTCATTTGGCTAAATAACCTGGTTGCTTGATTGCTTGCCAGCAATAAGTGACCTGACTTTTCTTTGTTCTTCTTACTCATTCTTACTAGAATCCAGTTGAGGGAAGTATCAATCATCAGACAGAAAATCCTTCTGACCAGCAACAGAGTCGACTATTTGCCAGGTAAATATCACTCTTCATCTCTCTATATCTGTTCTTCCTAGCAGTTTCCTCCTATTTTAATTGTTTTGCGTTCTTGTCTGATGACCAGGCTTTACCTAGAAATCCAGGGTCATGGAAAGCTGTTCCTAACTACAGAGTTTCCTCTAGGGAGGCCTGGTGGTCAGTCTTGCAAGCCCCTCAAGATCAAAGAAATCTTTGCCCCTGATGTTGTGTCTCTGTCAGGAGATGAAACGGAAAACTAGAGATACTCACTATATGGAACAGGCACTATAAGGTCAGACACTCTAAAGAACACCCCACTTGAGTGCCTCCTAAAAAGCCTTTGAATTAATGTTCTCTCCTTCCCAGATTTTCCTCCTGTATCAAACTCATGCCAGACCCCTCGCTACGGAAGAATTTTGTTTCTACCTTTGGTCTTGCTGACTATCCCTCCTTTCCGGTTTCCGCAGCATCTCCTTCACCCCCTTCTAATTCTCGGCCTTCTCCACCCTATCCAGATACCTACCCAAACCCCACAACCCACCACACACACTCAGGGATCTGGTTTGGTTCCACTATATTCTCCCCTTCTAAAGCCTAGTTTACATTCCTTCTCATTAACAAATCTCTTCCAAATCAACAAAAAGTCAGTCTCACTTACTGATGACTCTACCACCTTCCTCAAAGAATTCAATCCTAACTCAAAACCCAGTCCTGTGACATGAATTAAAATGACCTATATATCATTCCTTCCTCCACCCTTACCCCCAACACCTGCGCGTGCACATACATACATACATACATACATACATACAAATCAGGTGTGGAGAGAGGCCCAGAACCAGGCAGATCAGCTCAGATGCCAGGCCCCTACCTCACAGTAGAGTCCAAGGCAGTCCTAGATATAAAACATCCCCAAAACAAACAAACAAATTAGGATTACCAAGGAGACAATGGCTGCAGGCTGTGTAACCTGCTTGACAAGAAGACTAAAAAGAAAAAAAAGGCGTCTCATAAAGTAATAAATTTAAAAAACCCGTCTGAGGTTATCGAGAATAGCATGAAAATCCACCAAAAACCTCTGTATATAAGCCCCTCACTAACAGCAAGAACCTCTGACTTCTAATTTGAGAGCCCACCTGCATCTAGGTGAAAATTAACTCCACACTCATCTCCTCTTCTCCAAACCTTTCACTTTCTTAACTGCTTTTTGTTCCTTTGATGTATTTTCAGCTCAGTTTAAATTTATATTACTCCTTTTTATAATGGGTGAAGAAGTGATACCATGCTAGTGTACAGCTGTATGGTTATATTTGTCATTCTTTTCTAACATTTTCTAAGATAGTCTGGATTTTGAAGTAGTTAGTTTCCTAAAGCTGCCATAACAAAGTACCATAGACTGAGCTGTCTTAAAATGAAAAAGTATCTCCTACATTATCTTGGATATGAGAAGTTTGAAATAAAATTTTTGACAGGGTTTATTCTTTCTAGGAGCTTTCTAACAAAATATGTTCTATGCTTCTCTCCTAGCTACTGGTTGTTGTTGGTGATTATGTTTACATAATTACGTGTATTTCTCAGAAAGAGAGGATATACATAATACAATAAAATGAAATATTAAATAACGTATTAATCTATGCAGCACCTCAAAACAGAGATAAACCTGAAGGACATAGATTCTTCTTCTGTCATCCTCATTCACTGCTCAACTTTCAGATTTAAAGGAAGCAATTGAAAAAAACTATGCCTTGAATCAGGAGCACTTTGTCTTCAATCTGACATTGTTGCTTGTTAGCACTTTAGATAGGTTCTTGACAGCAGATTTCCCCAATGCAATGTGTCTTTTATTTTTTTGACTGTTGTTATCATGGACATTAATTGTGGATCCAATTAAAATAAAGTTATTAACAATTTCTTTTCTCTTTAGCATGATGCTTATTTGTCTCTCTTAACAATTTGTTAGGAGTTCTTGGGAGAAGTTATTATGCTGGAAAAGGTAGAAGATCAGAGAAAGAGAGGAAGATCTCCAACAAGACGGATTGACACAGTGACCTCAACAATGAGTCAGAAATTGTGAAGATGGTGCAGGATAAGGCAAGGTTCAGATCAATTGTTCAGAGGGTGTCTATGAGTCATAGTATATTGATGGCTAACAAAAATATTAATATAACAAAAGGAAAGTAGGATAACAAGTGAAACCCACCACTAAGAAATTAAATGGATGAAAACAGAACCCACTAAAATAAAAGGAACAGAATAGGGAGCTCTGGTGACCTAGTGATAAGAAGCTGTGCTGCAATCTGAATGCATGTGGTTTGAATCTGCCAGCTGATCTGTGAGGGGAGAATGGGCAGTCTCCTCCCCTGAGATTAACTGCCTCTGAAAACCCATTGGAGGGTCAGTTCCAACTCGATGGTAATCAGTAACAGCAATAAAGAACTATAAGACCTTGGTGGAATCGTTTGTAGCGTGTTGTGCTGCTTGCTAAAAGGCTTCACATCTTCAGTGGTTCACATTCATCACCGAGTCCATGGTAGAAAGAGAGACTTTCTCCTCTCTTTGAGATTTACAGCCTTGGAAATCTGATGGAGAGTTGTTATGAAACAGAGTGGCCTTAATGGTAGTGAGTTTGAGCTTTGTATTTGATGAAGAGTTATACTCCAAGTTTGAAAACAGAGGAAATGTATATATATTTAGACATTCACTGCCTACTTTAACTCAGACAGAGGTAGAATTTGAACAGATTGCTTGCAAGAGAAGAAATTTAACTGGGCATTAAAATCAAAACAAAAAACCTCCCCTAAAAAAGTTTCTAATACCATAACCCCAAAACTTTCAACCAAAAAATGTGCTGGCCCACATGGCTTCACAAGTTACTTCTACTGGACATTCAGGAACAGTTGACACCTATTCTACCTGAACTATACCAGAATAAAGAAAAAGATGGAATATTCTAAACTCTATCTATGAAGCAATAATTACCCTGATGCCAAAGTCAGGCAAAGTCACTGATGTTGTTGCTATTATAATAATTTGCTATTGAATTGATTATGACTCATAGCAACCCTCTGAACGATGGCTCTGAACCTTGCTCTGTTCTGAGCCAATCTCACCATCTCTGACACACCTCACCTCATTGCTACAGTCACTGTGTCAATTCATCTCATCTAGGTCTCCCTTTCCTGTGCTGACCCTCTATTCTTCCAAGCATGATGTCCTCCTCCAAGAATGGTGCTTTATGGCAACATGCCAAAAGTATATGAGATGGAGCTTCAAAATCCTTGCCTCTATGAAGCAGCCCAGTTTCATTCTCTCCAGGACAGACCTATTTGTTGTTTTGGCAGTTCATGGTGTGTTCAATTGTCTTCTCCAGTAGCACAACTCAAAGGCATTGATTCTCTTTCTGTCATCCTTAGTCATTGTCCAGCCCTCAAATGCATAACAAACAATGGAGAAAACGATGGCACACCTAAATTAGGCACACCTTAGTCTCTAGACTGAAATAATTGCTCTTTAGCACTCTAGAGAGATCCCTGACATCAGACTTACTGTGGACCAAAGCAAGCTAAAATTGCTAACAACCTCAATCCTTTCTCCACCTATCATGATATTGCTTATAGACCCAGTGGTGAGTATCTTGCTTTCTTAAGAGTTGAGATGCAATCTATATATAAGACTGTAATCTCAGGCTGGAGACTAAGGTGCACCTGATCTGGGCTATAGTCTTCTCACTTGTTTGCTATGTGTCAGAAAGCAGGACAGTGACTAGGGATGATAGAGAATTCATGACTTTGAGCTGTGGTGCTGGAGAAGATTGTTGGTATATCATGGACTGCTAGGAGAACAAACAAATTTGTTCTGGAGAGGGTGAAACCAGGCTGCTCCTTGGAGGCAAGGGTTCTGAACTTCGTCTGACATACTTTGGGCATATTACAAGGAGGGACTGGTCCTGGGAGAGGGTCATCATGTTTGGGAGAGTGGAGGGACAGCAAAGGAAAGGAAGGCCCTTGATGAGATAGATTGATTCAGTGATTGGGTAATGGGAGTGAATGTGTCAGAGACAGTGAGGTTGGCACAGGATAGAGCAGGGTTTAGGGCTATTGCAGATAGGGTCGCTATGAGCTACAAGCTACTTGACAGCACATAACAACAACAAACAACAACAATCTTTGATATTCTCAAACAAATGCTTCACATCTCCCCCAATTTTATCAAGCATAGTGGTGTCATCTGCATAAGTAGGTTGTTGATTAATCTTTCTCCGATCCTAATACCACATTCTTCTTCATAAAGTTCAGTTCTGTATGTACATTGAAAAGATGTGGAGAAATTATACATGCCTGACATACTCCTTTCTTGACTTTGAAGCATTAACTGTTCCTTTGCTCTGTTTGAATAACAGTTTCCTTGTATCCCTAGTAACATGGCTTCTTCTAAACCCAGCTTGTACTTATGGCAATTCTTGTTTGATGTGTTGTTTCAGTCGTTTTGGATAATTTTCAGCAGAATCATGCTTGCATATGATATTAAAAATGTTCAATAATTTCCTCACTCTGTTGGGTCATCTTTTTTTTGGAATGGAAACAAATGGATCTCTTCCAGTCAGTTGGCCAGATGGTTGTCCTCCAGATTTCTTGGCACAACTTGGTGGAGAACATCCAGGGCAGTGTCCTTTTGTTGAATTATGTCAGTTGATAGGCTGTCAATTCCTGGGGGCTATTTTTCGCCAATTCTTTCAGAGAAGCTTGAACTTACTTCTTCATCACCATAGTCTCTTGCTTATATGTTGTTTCATGAAATTCTTCTGTGCTCATCAATTCCTTTTGGTACAATAACTTTGTATACTCTTTCCATCTTTTTTAAATCCTTCCTAGATCATTTAATATTCTTTCCAAAGCATCCTTAAGTATTGTGACTAGAGGCTTGAATTTATTCTTCAGGTCCTTCAGCTTCAGAAATGCTGAGGAAGTTTGGCCCCTTTGATTTTCTGACTCTTTGCACATTTCAATATTTTATTTTGTCTTCCTGCACTATCCTTTGAAATCTTCTGTTCAGCTCCTAAATATCTTGATTCCCCCCCCCCCCCACTTTGCTTTGGTTTTTTGGCATGCTAGTGAAATATTCAGAGACCTTTCTTACATCCATCTTGGTCTTTTCTTCCTCCTCCATCTTTGTACTAATCACCGACATTCTTCCTCAATTATGTTCTTGATATCCTCCCACAGCTTAATCTGGTTTTTTCTTATTAGTATTCAAGGCCTCA